TGCAGAATCAATAGCTTTGGGTAACACATACCACTGAGAGAGCTTGATGGAAGTGACACAGGTTCTCGTGACTATGTGAAGAATAATGGGAATTATTTACAAAACAGCTGGACATACTGCAGTTACAATTCATTCTGGCTATGTCTCAACAGGGGGAATGTAATAGAGACCAATCTGGTCCCATAAAATGACAGTAACAGAATGCCTTCTCGGGTGAGAAGGAAGCCTGCTTAATACGTTCCTTCCGTATAAAAAGGAATTAAGCACAACAGTTAAAGGAGGGCAGAGAAACAAACAAAAGCGTGGTTGTGCAGCAATATTATTGTGATGTGTTATTCCTAGCATCCTATCTATCGTCTAAGAAATCAAGTTTGGATTTCGTACATACACATAATAGCATTTTCATTAGAAAACGTCATTTGAGACAAGCATATATGAAAGGTGAATGATAAAAGAATTGGAGCAGAATTGTGACTTAAACCACCCTTCCTCAATGTGGTGCCCTCCATAAGTTGTTGGATCTCAACTCCCGTCTTGTTTCAGAAAGTTCAAATTAGACAGGCACATCCTTAAATGTCAACTGAACTGAATTTTCCCTCCATCCCTACATGGAATAACTCCTAGGAATTCAAACAAGGGCCATTAGCACTATAACAGTGAACAAGTCGTTATAAAAATCCCTTTTAAAGATTCTGAAGATGCTGCAGAAGATTCCATTGACTTAACCTTGCACCAATGTCTAAGAGAACATGTACATTTTAAGTTGGCAGAAAAAGTAAAACACTGTTGGTGCCACGCATGTTCCTCAGCCAGGGCACCACCACTGATAAGCCTTTTCTTCACCACCTGGCAGCTCCAAACATCAGAATGGCTCTCTCTGAAGATCTGAACCACCCATGCAGGATGTTGGAAGAAGTACAGTGGTACCTCAGGTTACATACGCTTCAGGTTACAGACTCCGCTAACCCAGAAACAGTGCTTCAGGTTAAGAACTTTGCTTCAGGATAAGAACAGAAATCGTGCTCTGGCGGCGCAGCAGCAGCAGGAGGCTCCATTAGCTAAAGTGGTGCTTCAGGTTAAGAACAGTTTCAGGTTAAGTACGAACCTCCAGAACGAATTAAGTACTTAACCCGAGGTACCACTGTAATATGCAATAATTAACACAATAAAATAAAAATAAGAAACAGCTAAGAGGTGCTTTAGTAGGGTTCCATAGCATTTGTTCTCATCAGACTATCGGTTATTTCCAGCATATAAATCAGTCCTTGCTCTCCCACTATTAGAACCAGAATATTCACTAACAGGGAAGCGTCTTCAGGCCAACAGGGCAATGAGAAACATCTTAAACTGCTTACATGTTTTACCTATTAGACCAAGTTATTTTAATAAAGTGAATATGGTAGATATGGTAGATTGGTTCTTATGGAAATAATGCTCCTTTGCATATTTAGTGATGACAGACATACATATCAATTACAGTGGGACCTCGGGTTACATACGCTTCAGGTTACATATGCTTCAGGTTACAGACTCCGCTAACCCAGAAATAGTGCTTCAGGTTAAGGACTTTGCTTCAGGATGAGAACAGAAATTTTGCTCCGGCGGCGCGGCAGCAGCTGGAGGCCCCATTAGCTAAAGTGGTGCGTCAGGTTAAGAACAGTTTCAGGTTAAGTACAGACCTCCAGAATGAATTTAGTACTTAACCCAAGGTAGCACTGTACCTGGTTCTGAAGTCACTTTTCACTGCTTCCCACAGCCCCGTGAATAAAATAAAAGCAGCTTGCGGAAGGCAAAAGAGCAAAGCAACATCACCCTGGGGTGTCCTTCCTCTGCTCTGATTCAGCACGCACAGGTTTCTTGCTATTAAAAAGGGGCTAAATTCCGCATAACCCATAGTATGAGATTGCGAGTGTAAGAACTGAAATGCCCCACTGTTTTCGCTCCGTATGAAATTACAGGAACTCCAGTGTGGAGTCAAAGCGATAAATGTAGCTTCGGAAAACTTTTATTCAATAAGCAGTCCTGGATAGATTCCAATCTTCTGCCTTTGGCTCGAGCTGCACCATAAAGGCATGCTATTGAAAGATAACTTTAAATAGCTCACGAAGGCATCCCTATTAATTTGAAAGTACTGCATCTTGCAGAAGCCTTCTCCCAATTACTAGCATGATGCATATGGGGTAGATGTGCTGGTCAATGCTCACCTCTGTGCCCTCATTCATTCATGGCTCTTTGCTTTTCTTTGCCTCTTAATTATAGCTGATTTTGCCCCTGGCCTTAATGTAAGGCAGTGATGTTCCCACAAGCAGTTTCTAAGGTGGAAGGACATTGGGAAAGGGCTCTGTCCCTGGTGAAAGGCTGAAGGTTTGCAAAATACAGGCTTCTTCCCAACTGCATATTTACTGCAAAAGAGCCACTCACATTTACAGAGCATTTGCATGACACAGGGCACAAGACATTTTGTGCCTGCTTCAGTTTGTTGTTGCTGAACTCAGAAAGTTCATTTTTTTTAGCATGATGGAGCAGCTGCACAATCTCCCCAGTGTCGGTGGACTCTTGCCCAGATGGTCAGTGGGTTTGGGGGCAGCTATGCTGTGGGTTAAACCACAGAGCCTAGGACTTGCCGATCAGAAGGTTGGCAGTTCGAATCCCCACGACGGGGTGAGCTCCCATTGCTTGGTCCCAGCTCCTGCCAACCTAGCAGTTCGAAAGCACGTCAAAGTGCAAGTAGATAAATAGGTACCACTCCGGTGGGAAGGTAAACAGTGTTTCCGTACGCTGCTCTGGTTCGCCAGAAGCAGCTTAGTCACGCCGGAAGCTGTACACCAGCTCCCTGGGCCAATAAAGCGAGATGAGCACCGCAACCCCAGAGTTGGTCATGACTGGACCTAATGTTCAGGGGTCCCTTTACCTTTACCTTTATGACCTATGTAGTATGGCCTGCCCATTTCCTTTTCTACAGTCTGCCTCTAAGAATCAACTCCATTAATTTCAACCTTTCTTCTTCCAAATATAATTGCCTTTCTATATGTTTATTTTCTCCCACTCTCTCCCAGTTGCAGCGGGGGGTGGGGGTGGCGGTTCATGATTGGGGGTGTAGTGAGAGAAAAAAGGGATTCTTTGATCCCCTTTCCTCCACACTGGGGTCCAAAAAAAAAAAAAAATCACGCACCCAATCCCAAAATTTGGGGGTGGTGAAAGTAGAGGTGTCCACTTAGTTCCATAGAATATTAACTTTGGAAGGTACCTCTGGGGTCATCTAGTCCAGCCCCCTGCATTGCAGGAATTGAAAGCTGAGGAATCCCTGACTGATTGCCCTCCAACCTCTGTTCAAAAATCTCCAATGGAGGAGAGTCCACCACGTTCCAAGGGAGTCCGTTCCACTGTCAAACAATTATTACCGTCAGAAAAGTTCTTCCTAATGTTTAGTCGGGTTTGCCTTTGTTGCCATTTGAACCCATTGGTTCGGATCCCACCCTCTGAAGCCACAGAACTCAAGCTTGCTCCACCTTCCATGTGATAGCTCTTCAGATATCTGAAGATGGCTGTCGTATCGCCTCATTGTTCTCTTTTCTAGGCTACACGTACCTAGGGTTGCCATATGTCCAGAAATTACTGGACGTAGCCGGAATACGGTGGTCGGTAATGGTGTCTGTGCAGAAATAGCTTAAATGTCTAGGAAAATCCGGGTGTATGGCAACCCATGTCGTAAGTCTAGATTTTGGCGAATTGCCTTATAAATAGCTCAAAAAACTTTTTTGAGATTTTGCCAAAAAAAAAGCTCAACAACTTCTTGAGAAATGGCAACTCTACACATACCCTCAACCATTTCTCAAAAGGCTTGGTTTCCAGATCCTTGATCATCTTGGTCATCCTCCTCTGCTTATCAGTAATATCCCTCTTAAACTGCGGTGCCCAGAACTGGATGCAGTACAGTCGTATCTTGGATCTCAAGCGCCTTGGCTCCTGAACAAATCGGCTCCTGAACGATCAAAACCCAGAAGTGAGTGTTCCGTTTTTTGAACAATTTTCGAAAGCTGAATGTTCGACATGGCTTCCATGGCTTCTGACTGGCTACAGCGAATCGGAAGCCATGCCTTGGTTTTTGAATGGTTCCAGGAGTCCACTCCTGGAATGCATTCTGTTCGAGAACCAAGGTACGACTGTACTCCAGGTCGGGTCTGACCAAGGCAGAATAGAATTTCTTTCCTTGATGTGGACACTACACTTCTGTTGATGCAGGCTAGAATTGCGTCAGCTTACTTTTCTGCTGCAGCATCACACTGTTGACTCGTGTCAAGCTTGTGCTTCACTAAGGCCATTTGGATCCCAGAAGAATGGAAAGAGAGATACTATTTCATTTGCAGCTTAAAGCAGAACAGCAATGACTGGGGGGCTGCTCCGTGTGTGGAAGCACTTACTGGTCTTGTACCTTTCCCTTCCCTCTGCTGCCTGCTTGGGTAGAGAAGGCAGAGAGAGAGAGAGACTTGGAGACACGCAGGTCATTATCGCAGAGGATTCTTCAGAGACTTGCAGCCTGCTGACTAAAGTTTGCATCTTTTGTGAGTTCCCTTTGGGTGCTTCTCGCTCTTTTTGCTCGCGCAGCCTGACGCTGATGCGAAGCGACACTTGCACCTGTTGTCACCATCTTATGGTAATTAGCCCTAAGTAGCAGCGGCAACCCGCCGCATCCAAACACAAGCCATTAACATATTGCAGCTGTCATCAGGAGAGAAAAGCTAATGGAGTTAGTGGATTTGCACACCATTGCATACCTCGACTCCGCCAGCGTTAACTACCCGCTCCCCATATTGGGGTCATTGGGGATGGGAGAATGAAATGTGGGATGAAGGCAGTCAGGAGTGAAAGAATACATTTTACTGCAGGTTTACTTTCATGTATTATGCATGCCCTTCAAGGTCACTGCATGATCATTTATAAGATTTTAATGAGATATCAAAGTGGAAAGAATGGAATGTAATTAATGGGATCCTTATTGGGTGGAGAAAACATGTTTTCTCTTTTAAAAAAAAGCAAGCAAAATTAACAAACAAACAAACGGCAAACGCAAGCGGATGATGACTTGGAAAAGTTTTGTCCACCAACAAAACATAATCTTCTGCTGTTGCTGTTGCTGCTTCTTGGTAGCCTCCTTTTCGTTAAAAAAAATATCCTGTCAATTGATTCTTTCCAGCTGGCAATAAAATAATGGAAAGAATTAACAGGCAAGCCAGCCCACAGTTTCTCTTTGAATTTGGGAATACATGAATTTTTATTCTTAGGGGATAAATAGGGCTGTTTGCAGATGAAGGCCTGAAAGAAGACCTACTGGGAGACATTTTGAGTGGACTAAGCTCTATCTGCTGGCATGTGCATGAGTTAAGTGCTTGGATTGAGGCCAATTTAAAGCCCAATGCAAAATGTTGCAACCATGAACAGAAGCGGAAGTGATTCCTTGGAAGTGCTCATGTGTGCAAAAATATTTCCTCCAAACTCATCGTCTGCGCAAATTGGTTCCAGAAGATCTGGTCTCGTGTGGTTGAGTAGATATAGTCTGGGGAATGACTCAAAGAGCCACTCCCAGAGGATGTAAACATGTTCTTTTGGAAACGGTCCTTTGTCTTGCTGATGCCTCCAACAACAGGCTGTGCAGGAATTGCTGGAGGTAACAGGAAGTAAAGGAGCTGGCAAAATGGCCAGCACTGTGATTTTGATGCAGTTGTTTTCAATGCAAGGGTAGTCAACATGGTGTCCTCCTGATATTTTGGACTACGACTCTCATCAGCAGCAGGGTCAGGGATTATGGAAGTTGTAGTCCAACAGCGCCTGGAGAATATCACAGTCAGGCCAGTGGTGCCTATGGAGAGGCACTGATCCAGAGACCTCTTAAGATCTGAAACCGTCCTGCGACAAAGATGCCACAGACTAAACTAGAAGTGCTACAAGTCCATTCACCCACTTATCAGGGGTAAGCATTGGGTAAGCCTAGTCTTGTTTGGAGGGGAGGTTGTAGCCACTGCCTGCCCCTCCGTGGGTAAAGGTATCCTGTTAAAAGGATCCAGGAGGAGTGGCTCCTGTCCAATGCCCAGACGGGGGCTAGGGCCATACCACTCTTCCAATGGGGACTGCTTGGGGGAACACCCTAATTTGAAGTAGGTCATAGGGCGTCCGTCCCCTCCACCAGTTTCACCCTTAGAAACACTCCCAGCGGATGGGTGTGAGTGACATGTGCTTTTGCTTAGCACAATGCCTATGGCCAAACCAATAAAGCTGTGGCCTTATCTGATCCCAAAACCAATATGCCATGTGTTGTCTAGTTATCTGCACCTCATGGAACAGGGTGGTCACGGGGCCTCGATACACAAGCCCCTGAACCTGGGACAAAGACTGCACACAGGTCCAGTGAGCATCACTGCCTTCAAGCACCTTCTGCTGCATGGAACCAGAGTGTGGAGCTCCAGGCAAGAAGCCTGTCCCTTTAAACCCTTTGACTTTTCAAGGAGTGGGCAGAGCTTGAGATGTCCCAGCATAGAAGGTTTCAGTTTGATCCCAGACATCATTGGAGCTTTATTGCTCTTTAGGGACCGTCCTTGCTACTCTCCCTCCACCATGACTTGTGGGCTCTTTTGGGCGATCAGCCCAGGATGACAGGCCACAGGCTGTGCTGATTACCTCAAATAGGTAAAATTTTAAACTACACAGACACACACACAGAGAGAGAAGCCGCACCTCCTTTAACATCACAGTCCAGGAATGCTTTGATTTATTTCCATAAAGTGAATTGAAAATATTCACTCGCGCTGCTGAGAATAGCAGTAGCAGGATTCAGCAGATTTTATTCTATTTTATGCTGTGTTAAGGGCAAAATGTTTGGCAAACATCTTAATAAATAAATGCCAGTGCTCCAATATTATTTTTTTCTATCCATCTCTCCACCTGAGCTGATCTCGAGAATGGGAGAATGAAGCCATTTAAAATGCATGAAGGTACCATCTTCCCATTTATAAAAGGTTAAGTTCCCCTAAGTCAAGAGAGGGAGAGAGAGGCAAGGTGGGGTCGGGAAGGGAGGGGAGGGGAGGGGAGAGAATAAAACCCTCTGAAGACACGGGAAAGCAGTAAACACTGGTGGCAAGTGACAGGAATTGATCCTGCTCTCCCGTTCCTGTCATGTCTCTAAATTTTATTTCCACCATTTCCAAGATTCTGGTTGGGTGGAGGGGCGAGGGGCGAGAATGCCTGCGTGTGTTGGAGAAAGAGGGAGTAGAATGGCCCCAGGGCAATGCTACCTGTGTCTCTGACTTTTCTTCAATTAGCAGGCCTCCCTGCCTGATTGTGAGATGTGTGTCCGACTGGGGACTTGGACAGTTGCAAGGTATTGATTAGCTATAATGTGATGTCAAATCTGAATAAGAAAGCACTGTGATCAAAAGCCTTTCGGCAGCGACCGGGTGCCCTCCAAAGCCAAGGGTCTGCTAATTTCTGATGAGCTCGGTTTTCCCTTTTTGTCTGAGGGAGATTTTCTCGGTTTACTCATAAAGGCTCTCCTGATAGGGAAAGTCCAGTGGGCCGTCTGTCAAAACACGCAAACGCAACCCTGTTGTCTCAGATTTGACAGGTGCTTGTTAGTTTTTCATCCCGGATCACTCAACATGCACGGGGAAGTAGAAAGGAAGATTGCTAAGGATGCCAGGCTGCTAGTCGGCTGCTTTGTTGTTTTCACCAGGAAACTCAACGGTTCCTTCTCCTTCATTAAAGGGAAACAAACCAGAAACAGCCATTGTATCGGTTTTCTGGAACATGGGGACGTAAAGCAGTTTAGGACCACTTGTACACTCAAGCACCTAAAGAGAACATTTTATTCAAGGTTGCAAGGGTAATCTTCCTCTTCTTAAATAGAAATTGCATGCCAAGAAAAATGAAGTCCTTTGTGTTGCATAAACTCTGCAAGCACCCCAATTTTGCACAAATTAGGACCACAATCCATTGCACAAAACTGCATATTTAAATCTCAAGTAAATTAAAGGGGCTTTGGTAGGGATGGTTACAGAAGCTATCCCAACTAGATTCTACCCTGTTATTTTGAAGTTCTGGATTTCCATCACAGTTTCTGGATCAGAACTTGCGGGAGGAGGAATCTGTTTGGGATCTGATTCTCGGAAAGTATTTTTTCAATTTGAGTAGGCTTGCCATATGTCAGGAAAATTCCTGACACGTCCTGGTTTTCGGGTATAAAAATGGAGTCCTGGGGGAATTTTGCTGAACTGGTAAAATGTCAAGGAAAACCCGGCTGTATGGAAAAAGCAGTGGAAACAGCTCAAAAAGCTTAAATTCACAAATCAACAATTTGGGTTTGTTCCCAAAAAAAAAGGTCAACAATTTTGGTGGTTTCCTAAAAAAAAAGCTCAATAATTTTACTTTTTGAAATATCCCAACCCTAGTTTGAGTGTGGTATATGTGTGTTAGAGAAAATTTGACTGCTATTTTTTAAAAAAGCAAACTTTAAAAAACCCACACCTTTTTATTTGTGAAATTGTGCAATGCTGAAGTTGTGCAATGGCACTGTGGAAATAAATGAGGACATTTAAAGAGATGCCTAGTGGGCAGGTTGCTTTTTGTTCCGCTCACCACACATTTCTAGTCTGCAGCCTCTTTCAATTTCCTTGTGGGTAGTCTCAGAATGGTGAGCCAGATTTCTAAGAAATGGTTTTGAGGAAACCTCACGAGCAGGATCCTGGCAGCTAGGCTGTGAAATCTGGATTTCCAACTGGAATTAAACCAAAAGAGATGTACCCTGATGATGTGATCCTGGAACAATTATGGAACACAACTGTTTTGTGCTACTCATCTGTCGCTGTACTGGGCTCTGAGACTTCAATAAACTCTGACTTCCACCCTGAATATTAGTGCAAAGCTTACATTCACAGGAGTTCCCCGCAGGGCTCCCCACGGTGCGGATAGCAGCCTGCCACCCGGCGCGTGGGGCACCCTGAAGCAGAGCACTCTGCCCGCTGGGCAGACACCGGCCAGCCCCACAAGCTCGGGGGACAGCAGGGAGGCGCAGCGCCGCCATCCCGCTGTTCCTCAACCTGGTTTGGTTTCCTCGACCTGGTTTTGGGGGGGAAATAAAGGGAAAATTTTTTTCCTTTATTTCCCCCCCCAAAAAAACTAGGTGCGTCCTATGGGACGGAGCGTCCTATGGGATGAAAAATACGGTAGTTTGCGTATCTAAGTGGGCAGGTAGGGGAGATAAGTAATATGCCTTGTAAGTTGGGATACAAATGAGATAAATATGACGATTCTGATGGATGAAGCAAGGGTTAAGGTGGATACCTGTCTCCATACATGTGCACACTTTGTTAACTCTTACCAGAATGAATGAATGAATTGATTCTTACCGGAATCAATGGCACCTCTTTAAAATGGTGCTACCTGGACCATCTGAACACAGTTTCCACTGCTTTCCATGTTGATCCTGCAGGCCATCAGGCAGTCAGAACCATTTCTGCTCAGCACTGATCTCGGTAAATGTGCAATGCGCTACAGCAAATAAGGCATCAAGTATCTCACAAACATAACAGAGGCAGAATGAAATGCTCCTTGCTAACTGGCTGGTTTTGTTTGCTTACATTCACACCGCTGCAGGCCAAGCTGCTTTCAGTACAATCGAGGTGGATTTAAACATTTGTGTTGTCCAGGCTCCAGTCTGCAATGTGCATCCCTAAGCAACTCTGGGCTATTAACATGTCTGCTTGTCTTTTTTGATTAACCAGTCCCTCTTCTGCACTCTAGTAAATGGACAGAACCTATATCAATGTACCTCCTTCAAATTTACATGGTCCAAGGCTTCCAGGTCACAACCCAAAATTTTGCCTTTTTCCTAGAGACAAGGGCAAGAAATTCAGCAAAGGTACCTTCTCCCACTCATTGGTTCCCTGGTACTTGCAGCCATCCATATCCCCAGAACCACTTTTGTGTTCTAGAGCAGGAAGGACTACGTAGAATCAGATACAGCTACTATATCTTCTTTAAAGGGGCAGAGCAAAACTCTCCAATGAGACCTGGCAACCAGTCTAAGGGCACAGCAGGTCCCATTTGACTGCTTGGCCACTTCCCAAAGCTCTCCTGCTCCATCCTAGCCCAGCTCATAGTTGTAAAACCTTCATGGAAGCTGAGATATACCGTATTTTTTGCTCTATAAGACTCACATTTTCCCTCCTAAAAAGTAAGGGGAAATGTGTGTGCGTCTTATGGAGCGAATGCAGGCTGCGCAGCTATCCCAGAAGCCAGAACAGCAAGAAGGATCACTGCTTTCGCTGCGCAGCGATCGCTCTTGCTGTTCTGGCTTCTGGGATTCAGAATATTTTTTTTCTTGTTTTCCTCCTCCAAAAACTAGGTGCGTCTTATGGTCTGGTACGTCTTATAGAGCAAAAAATATGGTGTATAGATATATAAAAAATGTCCAGTAGCACCTTAGAGACCAACTAAGTTTGTTCTTGGTAAAAGCTTTTGTGTGCATGCACACTTCTTCAGATACACTTCTTCAAATTCACGGAAGCTATTATGGATAGCCTAACTTCCTGGATCTCATTACCCTGGGATTCTGTGAATTAAACTGTCTTCCGGTCCATGACCAGGCCCATTTGCTCAGTTTTATATAGTTTTAACCTATTGGATGGCTATTGGATGGCATGAGAGCAAAGTCAATAAATAAACTTGCAACACCAAGGACACTGGGTAATACATGCTGTTGGTTGCAAAAATGTGCCACCAAAGACCGCTCATGAGGAGGCTATTAGTAAGAATGCAAGGGTGCTCCAGGAATCTTCCCAAAATGCAGGATTTGTGGCTTTTTCTTTTCACATTTTCTTTTAAAAACAAAACAAAACCCCAGACATTTATTTATTTATTACTATGCATTACCAGGCAAAATTGCATTCAAAATGTCTACATTAAGGGGGTGAAATCATTGAAATGCTGCTGAATTTTCACGAGGACTTTAAAAAAAAAATATCACAAGCTGATGTGAAAATGTATTTTCTTCCCCCCAAAAGGAAATTTTCATGTGCTTTCTTATGACGCCGCTTCCGAACGTAACGAGCGTGCTTTGACTGGAAACAAAAATGAAGTACAAGATCGTCTTTATAAAGCTGTTATCAAATCGCTTTTGAGTACGTCAGAGAGAAGTAAAAGATTCCTTTCCCTCATCTACCTGGGCTCTCTGCCTTTCTTTTCCAGCTCTTGGAAATGTAGCTGCTGCTGCCCTCCCAGCAGCGCTTCGTAGTCAAGCTGCCACATTCAATTTCCTTCCTCTTGCAAAATAAAAATAAAAAAAGAGAGGGGAGGGGGAAAACCAGACTCTAGAAGACCTTCCAGCATTTCTCTTGCACTGCGAGTGTATTTAAAGATGAATGATGGCGATAAACTCGTGCTAAAAGGACGACTTTGAGGAAAGGGGTCACATTTAGAGCTTTGCCTTTTATCCTTTACACTGTATTCTGGGATTGTCATGTGGTGGGTTGCTGTTTTTTTTAAAAAATAAATGTAATGTATCCATTAGCTTAGAATGCTGCATCTCCATAAAACATCGCGGGAGATTCAGCATTGTGAAAAAAGGAACACATATATAAAGGGGGCGCCCTTTATTTTGTAACATTCCAGCTCCGTTCAAATTCTATAGGACAAAAAGAAAGAAAGGAAAGAAAGACCCATAGATTTAAATTTGATTGTTGACTGGCTGGTCAAAGTGCTCTGGGTGGCACATGTAAAGCTGAAACAAGATGCAAATAACACATTTAAAATCTATCAGTTCCATTTCCTGCCTAAAATACAGCACAATCAGAATAACAGAGGGCTTGCCCACACTTTCATTTGTCTTGTGCCTAGAAAGCATGGATCTGAGTGGCTTTCCACTTGACCCATGCTTTTTACGGATAGTTCAAGCAGTTTTCCACTCGCCCTGCTCTTTTCCCAGGGAAAACCCACTCTTTAGTGCTAAATTGGAGCAAACGTCAAACCAGAGAAAACCTGAATGGCCTTTTGCTCTGATTGAGCGCTAAAGAGCAGCCTTCCCCAGAGTTTAAAATGTTAATCCCTAGAATACCCACTGTAGGTCACTCCGATGACCACAGTCCTCATGCACATCCCAGCTGAAAAAGAGAGGTATAAAGCTGAAAAATTAGGGATGGTTCAGAGCTGAACCCTGTGGGAGACTGGCCATCTGAGTTATTTCAGGCCACTTTCCTGAATGTTCAGATTCCATTAAAAGCGGGGGGGGGGGGACCATGAAATTCCTGAACCTATTCACCCATTGAACTCACTGGAACTTCCTTTGGAGTAAATATGTTTCATTTTTGTTATGAAGTTATTGTAAGAACAATGTGGCCTCTTACTACCCTTTTTTTTTTTTGCTGAATAAGGGGGAAATGGTGAACTTAAGTCTCCCTGATGTCAGTGAGGAAGCATGGTGAAGTCCAACTCTAAGTCTAATTAACCCGTGATATGTGAAAGAGGTTTGAACATTTGACAGTGCTGGATATGTAAACGAGCCTTCTTCTTTATCTGTTTTATGGATTCATTTCTAAAATGCCTCTCTTGCCCTTCAGCAGCCAATTGGCATTCCAGGGATAGCTTCCAAGATGCATCCCCCCCCCCCAGTTCTATTTATGAAAGCCTTGAAAAAGGGCATTCTTAATTTGTGAAGAAGCCATCAAGATTACACCTCAGTATATATTTATTCCCTGTACATGAGTCGCAAGGACCACTGTCAAGAGATGCACTCCAGCTTATGGTGTGGACTCTGAGGGAGATGGGATGGAAGGACCAGGGGCTACTAAAGTGGTAGTCGACCAGGTCACATCCTTACTACACATTTAAAGCACTATGATACCACTTTAAAGAGTCATGACTTCCCCCAAAGAATCCTAGGAGTTGTGATTTGCTAAGGATGCTGAGAGTTGTCAAGAGACCACCCCCCCATAGAGCTACACTTCCCAGAATTCCCTGGGAAGAGGGATTGTTTGTTAAACCAATCATAACTCTGTGAGAGGAAGAAGGGCACATATATTTCTTGTAAAACCCCTTAGAGGTTCTATTTAGCAGTATATAAAGGTAAAGGTAAAGGGTAAAGGGACCCCTGACCATTAGGTCCAGTTGTGACCGACTCTGGGGTTGCGGCGCTCATCTTGCTTTATTGGCCGAGGGAGCCGGCGTACAGCTTCCGGGTCATGTGGCCAGCATGACTAAGCCGCTTCTGGCGAACCAGAGCAGTGCACGGAAACGCCATTCACCTTCCCGCAGGAGCAGTACCTCTTTATCTACTTGCACTTTGACGTGCTTTTGAACTGCTAGGTTGGCAGGAGCAGGGACCGAGGAACGGGAGCTCACCCCGTCACGGGGATTTGAACCGCTGACCTTCTGATCGGCAAGTCCTAAACTCTGTGGTTTTACCCACAGCGCCACCTGCGTCCCTTCCGCCACCTGCGTCCCTTCAGTATATACATTTTGTCAAATAACGTATAGTGCATATGTGGTCACAAGGCCTCTTTCAAAAGGATTCTGGGCCTTGAAAATGTGATGCAATGCTTTCAGTTCTAAGTGCTTAGAGAGCCTACAAAGGTAGAATGGTCAATTGCTGCAGGCTTTCACCTTACAGCACATGGAGGTCAACAGGAACAGGGGCTCAGCAAAGCAGCAAACAAGACCTGCCCCTCTTCCATGTTTGACATTGAAGACTTGAACAGGGATCGAATTAGTGATGGTGCAGAAAGTAGGAGGCACAGTTGTGGAACCCCCTTCCCAAAGGAAGTTCTCCAGGCCTCATCCTTCTTTATGAAGGACTTTTAATGGTAGCTAGCGTGTTAATGCTGACTGCTGGACAGAACTGAATGTGTCTTATGGGTGCCTTGTTTTAATTGCCTGCCTATGACTCTCTTGGAGAGGGTTCATTTCTCTCCTAAGGTCAGCAAGAGAAGAAGTGGTGTCCACTGCCCATTAGCCTCTGTATGTAAGCATGTTAGAGAATGAATATTTCAAGAGCCCCTAGTAAAAATACAGGGACTTAAAAGGGAGATGTCAAAGAACCTTATGAGATTCATAAATCCTTTGTGAAGCGTGTGTGTGTAGCAGTGGAATTCAGTGCTCAAGCCATTTATTACCATACAGGGGAGCTGAAAAGCAGCCCTGCATGGAACCCGACACTCCCGTGCCGAGTAAAACCGACACCGAAGAAATATTCAGTGTTGTGTTACAGGCTCTGAAAACATAGCAAATGGCAGGATCCTCCCCCCCTTTTAAAGAGTCCTCACTCTTGTTCAATAACTTCAGCTGTCAGAGCCCAGAGCCGAATCAAACAGAATTTCAGAGAATCAAAAGGGGTCGTCTCTTAGCAACTCTGTCAACAAATTTAAATTGCTGCATAGCATGGGCTCCTCTGCAAATCATTTGCATGCGAGATTTGTAAACATGACTTTCCATTGTGCATCCTGTTGTTATGGTGGGTGGAGAATCGGAGGGGTGGGGTGGGGGGCTGCTCAGCCAAAAGGGCAGTAAAGGGAGAAGCACCACCATCAAAACCGTCACAAACAGATTGTAGAATCAGTCTCCAATGAATTCCATCCACCTTGCTTGTGAGATTACTCGCATATATTGCAGTGTTTCTTGCTTTTCCACAACTAAAAACATTTTGGATTTCTTTGCATACTTCAATATGGAGCCTAATTTAGGCATCGTTAGACTGGTTTTGCTATATTTCTCACAAACCAAAGTGGCCAATGCCACTTAGTGGAGCTGATTTCTCCAAAGGCAGGTGCGTATTTGGCTGAGATATTCCCCACTGCAGTAAATCAGTTTGTGTTGTTTGGTTCTACAGGTTCAATAAACACAGCCTCTGTTCTGGAAAAGACCTGTGTGTGTTACTGAGCCCATGTGTTGAAGACATACTACAACTATGGCTTCTCGATCCTAGTAGGCAAGACTCTTGGAACCAGTGTTTGAAATTTGCCAGGCACCAGGCATATTTTGCACCTGGCTATCGGCCACTTGCAACCAAGTGAAGTTGCCCGGGTGCCAGGATGGCACCTGAGGTCTCCACCATCTGAAGATGGGGATACTTGGATCGGGACTGTTTTCACACATTAGCAACACATCCTGTAGAATTATATCTGTTATATTTTATCTGCACGATCATAAAGAATTTCAGGAACCAAAAAATTGTATTGGAAAAAATGACTTTCGATTAAGGTTAACCCAGGAGGCTTGCTATCAAGTCTGAATAGTAGACAGGCATTCCTGAACCCATTGTGAAAAAATGTTCTGCCTTTGGCACCAATGGGAGTTTCCTCTGAAATGCAAATAGCAGCTGGGGAGAGATGATTGCCCTAGGGTGGTAGCAGGTAGGACAAGAGTTAACCCTTTCCCAAGGCTGCTCAGGCTTATAATCTACATTTCAGCAATTAACATCACATACAATTTGGCCCTTCTAAACCTGCACCTGCGACCAGCTTGTTGTTGTTGCAGAAGTCCTCCTCATCTTATTATGGTACAATATATATAATATTTATAAATATGCTTTTAAATGCTCCCAAATAATTATTCCGTTCAAATAAAATTAGCAAATTAGATGCAAGATTGAGGGGGGCTGAGCTCCATCCCAACGAATATTACAGTGCTGTAGAGGCCTCTGCCCCGTGGACTTGGCGGGCCTGCAAGAGAATGAGAATTCTGGGAAATGGGTTGAGAGAAGAAGGCTTGCATAGCAGTGAAGAAATGGGCTGGAGAGGGTTCTTTGTGGCACCACCAAGAGCAGAGCAGAAAAAAACAGAGAGAAAGAGGAAAACCCAAGAAGAGAAAGACGCTTTTGTGCTGGGTGAAGTGAGGAATATGTGGGCCTCCAGAAATCATTTGACTGCCAGTCCCATCAATCCTGACCACTGACCATGCTGGCTTGGGCTTATGAGACTCAGAAATCCAGCAACAGCTGCCACAAGTCCTTACAAGTTCACCCATAATGAATAAAATCTTGACCACAAAGCCACTTCCGGGCTGGAGAGGAGGTGGGGTTGCGGACTTCATGCCCTCCCCCCACTTGCGCAGGGGCTGGCTTGCAGCCCCCGCGAGATCGGGAATTCCTCGCACGCGTCATCTCCCTTGCCAGCCAATCGGCTGGCCCGGGAGCCGTGGCCCGCACTATTTAGGGCTGGCACGGCCAAGGATTTCCCTCTTTCTCCAGCGCCCCAGCTGCTCCGGTTTCCCACCCTCCCACCCTTTAGGTTTGGCTCTTTGACATTGCTATGGACTTCGGTTGGTCACCGTCAAGGGGCCTGGTAGGATTTTTTTCCACTTGGCAAATTGGCACCAGCCACTTGGTTTTTCACCTACCTCGTAGCAAATCGTCACAACTTCCTCGGCATTGGCGGTTAGGCATTGGTAAGGGTATTGTTATGCAGATGAGTGGGGGGGGGAGAAAGCACCATCACCTTCTCCCATATCGAAGGGTAGTCCGGTAAAGGATTCTGGGGGGCGTTGCCCTGTCCGAAGCCTATGGAGGTGTGGGCCTAAGGCACGCCCCCGAGCGGTGACCCCGGGGGAGCTCCTAGTTGATGTACATCAGCAGGACTCCCCCTACTGGTGGTTAACCCTTGCCGGTCTTCAAGCAATCAGGCTGAAGCCGGTTAGACGATAGGACCAATGCCTAAGCCAATACCGCTCAATTCCTGTAATCAATAAAGTTGTGGCCTATTTTCGCCCATTAACCTAAAATACTGGTGTCCTGTGTCTTTATTTCCGAGGGGGAGGCGGGAACTCGCCACTCAAGCACACACCATTTAAATGGCAATGCCCACCAACTTTTTTGGGAGGACTCCCTCAAATATTTTATGTGGGCCCTTTGTTAGTTCCTATGCACCAGATGTTGCCCAGGTCATGCTCTGGCTTAGGGACCCAGGATTTAGAAGGGTCCCCTGCAGGCCTGACTTCCAGTTTGCTCACTTACCACCAGGTCCAGCTCTCATCTGCAGTGGCCAGCTAGGCATCTGCCTCCACTATCTCTTATAAGGACCAAGGCAAATACCTTATTCTCAGAGCCAGGCATTCCAGGTGAGGTAGTCAGGCACTGCCTGTTCATTGGCTGCAGTTTGCCTCATAATTTTAATCTTAGAATTTTCAAAAAGCTGCTTAAATGTCTTTCTAGCCACCATGACAAACCACGGCAATGGCAATGGCATTCTTCTGGCCATCTTTCTGAAGTTGCCTAATTCTAAGAAGATCTGTCACTTCTCAGAGCCCCGAAGTTGATTTCAGTTTCTCATTTCCACATCAGATTGCAATTTTATTCTTCAAAACTTCCTCATGAAAATTCATCAGCATTTTAGTGCAATTTTCTTCCAATATGCACATCTCTGCAAAGCAAGTTTGCCTAATATAATGGCTCTTGATAGGTTTTCACTAATACTGTATATGCGTTTTACATGCAAACTTTAATCTGACATATGCATGTGTGCACATCTGACTTGGATGGAGAACCACATTGCGAAATCTTGAGAACCGTGGATTTCGAAGGACGACGGTTTATGTGTTGTTTGGGAAGGTGAGAATGAGGTAAGTTCACCTTTAAATCCTCAGTTTTGACTCACCAAAGCGTGTGTTGCAATGTATTTGTTACTCATTTCTAAGATGTCCTGAACACTCTTGTTTTTGCTACAACACACTGACACAGATATCCCTATGGAATTAAAAACTATTATCTGTCTCCAGCTGTTTTGTTTGAGTAGAATCCATATTAGGAAGGAAGGAAGGAAGGAAGGAAGGAAGGAAGGAAGGAAGGAAGGAAGGAAGGAAGGAAGGAATTGAAGCATATGGTGCTACTGAAGAGAAAGCAACATGAATATCTGTAATGCTCAATTGGCTCCCAGATGTTTTCTTAAACTGCAATGAACGTTTGAGTTTATTATACTAATATAGGCCCTGCCATGTCTTTAAATTTATGGCTTCAAATGAGTGGAGTCAATGTCATTATTAGACTGGATGCTGGTCAATACTAAAAGCCCTTCATTAGTTACAAAAGACAGAAATGGTTCTGCATTATAGATTTTTTTCTCTCTTTTTAATTGTCAACCGGGATCTGCATTTCCTTTGGACAGGCTTTACCGAAAAGCAGGCGAAGATATTAGCATATCTCTTGACCGTCTCCCTCCATAGCATATGGAATTCAGGTGAAATTTCTCACATTTTCTGTGAGGCTCGGAATCATATAAACAAACCTTTAAAGCAGGCTTCCTCAACCTCGGCCCTCCAGATGTTTTGAGACTACAATTCCCAGCATCCCAGACCACTGGTCCTGCTAGCTAGGGATCATGGGAGTTGAAGGCCAAAAACATCCGGAAGGCTGAGGTTGAGGAAGCCTCTTTAAAGGTTGTGGTCATGCAACCCAAGCAGAAGTGCACTATGGGAAGTTTGCATCGAACACTTCTAAAAAGGAAACTTGCCCCACTATTACCTGATAATTCATATGTGACTCCCTGGATCCCGAATTGCTATCCATTTCCCCAGGAAAACAGAAACTGCGATCTTAACGACTCGCTCATTCCATGGTCTCCAATGATTAAGGTTGAGATCCTGTGCCCAGGTAAGGTTGTTTATTTTTGTACTGATCTGAAAGATTCACCAGGAGCCTTTCTAGAAAACTGGGAGTGGGATATTGTGGAGAGAGAATGTTTAGGGGTTAAAAACAGAGCAGAAGGAAAATAAATGTTTGGGGTGATTTGGAGGGGGAGAGACAAGAGGAATCTCAGGGTTTTCAGCAGTGAGGCAGGGCTGACTCACAAAAGCAACAATGGCAGAATTGCTTCCCCCCTCCTCTCTTGGCTTAAAAGAAAATCTCCCCACTGCTCCAGTACCTGGTGAGCTGCCTTTTCGATTCATGAGCCTGCTTTATTTGTCTATGCTCCCTGTGCAATTCTGGGGCTCTAAATCACACAAGAGACCTACACAGCTTCCCCTCTACCGAAGTTCAACAACCGACATATGTAGAGGAGCAAGAGCAGTGGTGGCGATCCAATGGAGGAGGCAGGGAGCATGCCTCCCACTCTTCTTCTCAAAAGACTCTCCTTCCTGGGAGGTTTATAAACAGAGGTTGGACAACCATCAGGGATTCGTTAACTGAGATTCCTGCATTGCAGGGAGCTAGACTAGATGACCCTTGGGATTCCTCCTGATTCTACAATTCTATGATGCTACGATGATAACCACATGAGAGGAGTGCCTGAACAGGGCTGTATATGCAACTAAATGTCACATCTAGTTTGCCCCCGTCCCAGATGCAACTCCCTCAGAAATGTCCCCAGTCAGTCTTACCTTAAATCTTTCAAACTTCTTAGCTACAACAGCTATTTCCTACCCTCCAACATTTCTCCAATGAAAATAGGGATGTCCCGTTCCATAATGATCACTTTACTATTTCTATCCCACACATCTCACTGGGTTGCCCCAGACACTCTGGGCAGCTTCCAACATGTATAAAACATAATAAAACATTAAATTTTTTTTTTTTTTAAACTTCCCTATGCAGGATTGCCTTCAGACGGCTCGGGGGTCGGATAACTCCATAACCTCCAACATTTCTCCAGTGAAAATAGGGACATCCTAAGGAAAAGTGGGACATTCCAGGATCAAATCAGAAACTGGGACAGGTTCGCTAAATCAGGGACGTCCCTGGAAAATATGGACACCTGGAGGGTCTGCTATTTTCTTTTCTGTTTTCTCTCCTAACCTCTACTCACTACGGTGAACTTTTTTTTCGGGGGGGGATGCAATATTCAGGTTTCAGGAACTGCCAGCCATTGCCACACATGGTGGATCCCATAACTGCAGCCTTCTGAAGAAGAACTTTCCTTTTCTGGCTTGGCTGTACCTCCTCAGCAGGTTAACAAGTTCTCCTGGGCAGGAAGAACTTCCTTTTCCAGCTAAGCCTTCTTCAAGCAAAGAGGTCTATCTGAGCACTAGCGCGTCTTACATTTCTGGGCTTGTGTCTCAGTCCTGACTTGTTCTCTGGACCTGCTCCCTTATTTGCCCTCTGACCCAGATTGTCCCATGATCTGGACTCCTGACTTGTTCTCCAGCTCTCCCTTCTCATTTGCCTTCTGATCCTGCCTGCTCTTCCATCCTGAGCCCAAGTTTCTGGCTCTCTCCACCTGGTGCCCAAAGCCTGCCTCTGACTAAAGCTTGGTAGATTAAATAAACAAATCTATGGATCAGATTTTCTTGTTGTTGTTTACAAAAGCCCTGCAGTCCGTTAAAGGGGGGAAAGCCCTGCTATTGACTTAATTCTGGCATTGTATAATGACAGTAATTTTAAAACAATGAACGTCACACAATTTGGTTAAGATGTTTTTGCTTTGCTTTGTTTTTTAAAAGCATCAAGCCAATGTAGAGGAAAATAAATCCATATACTACCACAGATTTACATCTTGCAATCCCATGGCTCTTGCATTTCATCAAAAAACTACCTAATCGCCACCCATTTTTATCCCGCAAGCAGAAGTTGAACAATAAACCACTTTTGTAAGTATTATTATTATACTGGGGGGAGGGAATCAGTTGGCAAATGTGATGGTCTTAATAAAGGAGAAGTCTAAGCTGAAGTTGTAATGGTTGATCTGAAGTGATTGGTTGCTGGGTGGCAACTTTCTCTTCCTTAATTATAAAAAAAATACAATTACTGTCTTGTAATTTTTATTTATTTTTTTAACCCGAGCCTATCTTAAAAAAAAACAACAACCCTGAAGAGCTAGGAGAACTCTTATTTCTCTTCCACAGCTGATTAGATCAGCCATGCCACCCCTTCAGAATTTTCTCTCTCTTCAGATTGGTTTTGATAGTAATTACTTGGGAAGTGTTTGATCTCAATGATGAATACATGATTAGTTTTTCATGAAACCAGTCAACCACACCAACTCGGCATTACTCATGTGAGACCTTGTTGATTTAGCTGTTCGAAAGAACATATTCCGTCTTGCTGCAGTTATGGGATGGCGGTCTTTGGGGAAAAAAGGGTGGGGAAAGGGCAAGTTTATGGGTAATGATATTGCAGCGACAGATATTTAAGGTTTGCTAATTCTCGACTCAATTATGTTCATTCCTCCCTCCACCGCCCTGCCTGCTGCCTGGCTACAGAAGCAATCCGAGAGGCAGAATACATTTCTTCCCTTTTTCAAAAAGAGGTTTCTTGACACCATTGTCATCTGCGAAACCCTTGGAGGGCTTTGCCCTGATGAATAATATTTCATATGGGGAATGTTTATGTGATTTTCACGGAGTGATAACCCCGCCGCCATCTAACTTTGATGCATGGAGATTGCTGCTTTTCCCTACTAAAGTGCTTTTACACACCACCTCCTGCAAATTGACAAGAGTTGGAAATGGAAGACTCACACAAGTTGGGCTCATCTTGGGGAGGGGGTGGGCAAGAAAAGATCCTATCTATTGGACACAATCTGTTTTATTTATTTAAGAAGCATCTTTGGCAAAATAAATAAAAGCTTTCGATTTATTATCATTATTATTATTTTCTGGGTTTTCAAAAACCTCAGCTAAGGTACGTTTTTAAAAGGAGACACATGCGATTAAATTTCTTTGTCTCAGACTCTTAAGGTGCAGGGTTTCTTCATAATAAACACCAGTCTGGTAGCAATATATTCATGGGCTCGAATGCCATATAATATGTGGTTGCATTGTAAAAAAAACACACATATATGTGTGCATTCAGGAAATCAGTTCTGTGCAACCATTTCATGGGTGCAATAAAAGCAAATGCTGTTGGCAATAATTTGCTACTGGTTCTTAAGCTGAGGGCAGTGAAGTGTCAGAGGGGGTGGGTCTTTTCAGCACATGCCCGCTCTTCTCCACTCAGGCCCAGCAGGGCCGGCTTACCCATAGGCGCTAGGAATGCAGGGCACCCGGGCGCCGGGCTCTCAGGGGCGCCAGGCCAAGAGTCCAGGGCCAAGATTTGGAGTTTGGAGATTGAAGAGTCAGGTCAGTTGACAGCTGCTGCCAAGCGAAACAGAACCCGTCAGAGCGCTGCAGGCTTTTCTGCTGCGGGCGCTGAGGCAGCCCTCCTGCTCTCTTGTGCGCCTGGGATTGGCGGGCCATCGAGAGGCCCACGGAGCACACGTACGCTGCTCACACGAGGTGTGCAGCTCCCTCCCAAGCCTCTGTGGGGATTGCTCTCCTCCTGCAGCGGCATGGGAGAGAGTTGCCCCCCAAAAGCTAAACAACTCTAAGCTGCCCCCTAAAAAAATCTGAACAACTTTGGCCTGCCCACCCCCCAAAATTGGGGGCGCTGGGCAGTTTTTTGCACCCCGGCGCCACATATGCGAAAGATGGCCCTGAGACCCAGTGAGAATCGTGTCAGTAACCAGAACACCTGAAGAGGGTTATTGTTTTATCCATATGGTATAACAACACATAGGTAGTAGGGCTGGGCGGTATCTGGTTTTCAACATTGTGATATATCACCAGCTAAACATTGCAATATACTGATATATCGAGATGTCTGGAATAAGGATGGAGCTATATAGAGGCATTGGCTGGCTTCACGGTTTCCCCTGCATCGTGATTTTTGCGTGTGCGTGCACACACACACACAATTCATTATATATTGCCAGGTAAAAAATTATGAAACCGATATCATGATACAAACTTCAAACCAGTTTTGGTCAAAATATCGTCCAGCCCTAACACACATCATGATTCAGGATATATTGTCAGGTCAAAAATTACGACTCTATCTATTAGGGCTGGGGGGTATATCGTCCAAAACTGGCGTTAGTAGCTTCTAACGAATCAGTAAACATCTTCTTCTTCTTCTTTTTAGCAATGCCTTTATTGTATTTAATCCCTCAAAATCCTCTGAGGGTTGGATCGTTTCATAGATGAGAAACTGAAACAAGAGATCATGACTTGCTCGATGCTGCTACATTATGAGTCCATAGCAGGAATTGGTCTAAGGCAGAGTGTGGTGGGCAAAATCTGTGGGTGAGTTAACTTCTGGGTTCCGTTAGTGGAAGCCAGTGCAAGGACTCTTGCTAGTCCAAAGGCATTTCCCCTTTCTCCTCCGCCCCACCATCTGCTCCAAATGGTCAGCAGAACCTCCAGACCAGCATCTGGGGGAGATGATGATGATGATTTATTATGATTTATACCCCACCCATCTGGTGGGGTTTCCCCAGAGATTTTTCTGTCAGACAAGCAGAAATGCTTGCACCAGTGAAATTATCTGCTTAGTGCTATGTTGAGTGCTGCCCTTAAGCTTGGACTGGGGAAAGATCCCTCCTCCCTGCAGCGAGCCAGGGTTTTCCTGCTTAACCAACCTCACAGGGTCGTTGTGAGCGCTGTACCAAATAAGGCACAAGAAGACGACTCGCTCCGAGGAAGACGACTGGCTGAAATTGTTACTTTCGGGTACTTTGAGCCCTTTGTTTATTCTGCTTCACACATACATATTTGTCACCTGTCTGTAGACTCGAGAGATAACTAGCATGTGTGAATCAGAAAGGGGCCGATCTAAACATTAAGGAAAGGTAAGACAAAAATGCCCAATTAATTTCCTTCGGTTTCACCTTATTGCAGCCTCTGATTACCCCCCTTTTATCAATGAGGATGCGCTGTAACTACCCATTGACCCATCCTAACTATTTCTCTGAAACACGATCCATTCCCCCACCACCACCAAGGTGAAATATTTCCCTTCTCTTACTGCTTTTTTTTTTTTTTCCAGGAGAGAAGCCGGAAGAATTCATTTGTATGTATCCCGTACAACTGACCTCTTCCTACCTCTTCTGCCCTCCAACCTCAATTGCATTTGGGAACTTGAGAATCAAACAAAGGAATCAGAGCCGTAGATAGACTACTGTAAACAAATTATTTTTCTACTGAAACAGGGTCACAGAACATTCTTAAGGGAAATTTGAGAAACTATAACCTGGATCAGATATGGGATAAAGCAATTTAAAAAGCCCCTCTGATATGAATCCAAGCACAGGGTACAAGCCAGCGCTAAGTTCTCCTGTGCTAGTTTATCTGGATTAGAGCCAGATGTAGTTCATGCTTAGAGTAGACCTACCGAAAGGAGTAGGACTGAAATAAATGGGACTCACCTAAGTCTCATTGATTTCAATTTGTCTACTCAAAATATAACTGTTTTTTTTTTTTTAATTCCTGAACAGGGATTGTGTTGTTTCTGTACAGAATTTGCTGCTTTACTACCCAGAACCACTTGAACATTTAATGGGAGAGGTATTATGCTAGGAGATGCTAGGTGTACCTGAAGGAACATCTCCACCACCATCATTCAGCCTGGACACTGAGGTTCACCTCTGAGTGCATTCTGGCAGTTTCCTCATTGCAAGAAGTGAGGTTACAGGGCCTTCTCTGTATTTGTGCCCTGTGGAATTGCCCTTCCATCAGATGTCAAGGAAATAAACAACTATCTGATTTTATATATATATATATATATATATATATATATATATATATATATATATTGCCTGGCGTGCTCTGGTCCATGGGGTCACGAAGAGTCGGACACGACTAAATGACTAAACAACAACAACAACAATATATATATATGTGTGTGTCATTAAGTCAGGTGTGATTCTTCCCATTGCTGAAGGGTTGATTCATACATGTATGCTCATCAATGTGGCCGAAGCCTCAGACAATGACTTGCATGCATGAATAAACCTTCACATGTCAAACTATACAAGTAGGTTTCAAATCACTTCTCATTGCAATGTTTCTCCAGTGAGTAAGTGAGCGGCCATGCATTCCCTTTACTTCAAATGCAGTACTTACTCCAGTGAGAAAGTGGGTGAGCTCCCATTCAGCCATCATCTGTTCACTAATCAAGTGATGTTTTTGCAAGTGTGAACAGGCCCCGAAGTAGACCTAGAGCACTTACAACCACAGGAAAAGGGGGGAAGAGTGCAAAGGAGATTTATACTATATTGAACAGGATTTTCACTTAAGTTAATTTCCCCCCACCTCATAAGTTCCGTGTAAAGAGAAATCTTTCTGATACAAGCCTCGATTAATGACTTGCTGGTTTAATGTCACTCTTATCAACAAGTGAAGATGAAAAGCTTGTCAAAAATATGTATCCATCTCACAGATTAAAAGATTATTTCCTGAAGTATATTCACAAAGAAAATCAATGTGAAAGCCACCCTGTGAGATGGGTTTGAGGGGTGGGTGGTTGCTATACACTTCAGAGATAGAGAGGTTCTGTCTCCCCACATCAGTCCTTTCGGATCTATTTCAGGTACTGATTAACAACCACAAAAACATCTGGCCCATGACACGGATTCTGGTTGAGACACAGTGGGAGGCACATATGAGCAGTTTTCCATGCGCAGACTCATAAGCCTACGCCCAATAAGCACCCTTTCCCCTTTAACATGAATGTATTTTCTAGGAATCAGAGTTGGCTCCAGGCATTCTGCAGCCTGAGACGAAGAGTTTTCCCTGCTTGCCCCCTTAAACAACCCCCTGTACAGAAACCTACAGGACAGGTGATCGAATCTCACTTCAACAGTGGCAACAGGGCCGTGTCCTCCACTCAGTGGCATAGCGTGGGTTGCCAGTGCCCAGGGTGTGTGGAGTACACATGTACGTTCAACTGCCTAATGGCATCTGCATCACCTAGGAGATTGCAGCCACAGAGATAATAAAAGAAGAGTCATTCTGTCGTCTGGAGAGGTCACTTCCTGGTTTGCATGGAGAAGCTGTTTTCAACGGAGCTTGGCAACACATGTGGTGGAGGCCTGGCAAGGCTGGAAGCTGAGTAAAAGACAATCTTAAAGGGCCTCCAAAGTCATCCTAACGCACCCTAGTTATCCAAGTCTCAATTCAAGCATTACATTTCTCAGGTGGTTTCTGCCCTTTCTGATAGGTTTTGGAGCCAAACTGTAGTATCTGAAATTCTGCATCCAACTAGAAGAATATGGGATGTTAAAGTATTTCTTCCTTTTACCTGTCCCCAAAGTGTTCTTAAAAAAGAAGAAGAAGTAGATTTGCTGGTTGAGAATGGCAGAGCACTTTGATCCACTTCAATTGTGCAAACCTAAATTTCCAGTAGGTACTTGAATTCCTCCCACAAAAAAAAGGAAAAACACGGAGGTACCTTTACTGAGAACACAACCAATATTCCCCTGTAATTTCAACTCACTGGCGAAGACCAGTTGGAATGAGCAAGCTCTGTTTTGCTCAAGAAAGTTTGCCCACCATTCTTGAACTGGCCCAGTAAGCCTCTGAGCAGTCCATGGTTTCCTGTGGGACACAGTTTGGAAATCCCACTCCTCTAAGAGAACGAAACAGAAGGATTCACTAAAGGAGGGAATTGCATTCCACATTTCCTTTATAGCGTGAACCATGGAATAAATCACCTAAACAAGGTGATGGGAAGAAGGGAGCACTGCTGTATATGTATCCAGAAATATAAAGATGCACTTGTAAGTTAGTACTGGAAAGGGTATATTATTCTGCATATGTTCTTTGAAAAAGAAAATCAATAAAATTCACATTCAGTATTGCTCATTGTAAAACTACATAAACTGTATTTAATGCTCACTGACGTGACACTTAACAAACAGTCTTGAACTGAGTTCTATTTGCATTTGATTTCTGTCACAGCTTGACAAAAAAAGTCTGTAGCTTTCATCTGCTTTTCTCCTTTTACGCTCCTAACCAAAGAAGAAGAGGTTTACCTTGCAGGCAAAACAACAAGCTAAATAGAAAGCATGCACACACACCAAAACATTTGCCCTAGTATAAGAGGTCCCAATACCCTTTCGGTATATTTCCCCAATCACTTCCTTTAATATACCCCCCAGAGCTCAGGCACCTCCTGCATAAAAGACAGCTGTGTCTTAGAAGCTGTGTGTTTTGAAAATACACCCAAGGCCAAACTAAACATTGCCTTAAATTCATGGCTGTGGGAGCTGTGCCTCTAATTGTTGCCTTCCGCTCTCTAAAATCTTGAGAAGGAGGTGTATAGTTCAGGGGAAGTTCAATGCCTTGCATGCAAAAGGTCTCAGGTTCAATCTCCAACTAGAAGGACTGTGAAAGGTCTCCTCTGAAGAGACACTGTCAGTCAGAGTAGACCAGGGATGGGAAACCTGAGGCTCTCCAGAAGTTGTGGACTCCAGCTCTCATCAACTCCAGCCAGTAGAACCAATGGACAGGTATGGTGGGAGTTGTCATCCAATAACATTTGGAGGTCCACAGATTTTCCATTCCAGGAGTAGAGTATACTGGATAGGAAAAACCCTAATTGACAGTAACCTGATTCAGTCATCACAACAAACTATGGTTTGCCACTACATGCTTCCAGGCTTCCCATCGCCCTCTGGTTAGGATCCTGGATTGGAATAGAGTCCATTGGCCTGTTAGGGTTCTCTTACATTTTTATGCCTCAGGAGAAATCTACATCCTGACAGTGGAACTATTTTATCATGATAAAATCATGGACAATGTGCCAGATCACCACCGTCCTAGTTAATTCAGAGCATCTAGTCCACACATCCTTTCACAATGGCCTCGCCTGCACATCCAAATAAGCTTCCATTTCCTCTAACATGCTTCTCATTTAAACTAAGCCATAGTTTATCTTGCTATGGTTTAAGGTGATGTGCAAACTGAGCCATGCCCTATTGTGGTTGAAGCTGACAGGAATGTGTTGCTTTACTGATTTCTCAGCATGCCGTGTCGCTGACAGTTAACAAGAGGGAGAGGGGCAAGGAAGCAGGGAGTTTAGCGTGCTACATCTGCACTGCACAGAGCTCCCTGCTGCCTTGATCCTCCCCTTCTCGGCCACTGGCAGTGAGGCACACGGTGTTAGGAAACCAGTAGAGCAACACAGCTCCACTCATGCCAGCTACTACAGCCCTATGGCCACAACCTAGACTGAGGAGAGGAGAGAAGCACTTGCCAGATCAGCACAACTCTGCGATATTGGATTTCAATGCATCTGCTTTGCAAAGAAGCAGAAAGACTTACATTCTACACCCCATCCTAATTATTACTGCACTCGGGGAATGGGGAGCTCAGCTGCAAAGATCAGCTAACAGATTGGTGTTTGTGAGCAAATTGCCTTAATAACCCTCCTTCCCAACAATACATTGATGGGGATTAATATTCTTGTTGAGTAACAAATTCAAGACTCTTCCTACATGATTAGCCTAATTGTGAGCAGAAACAGGGCCTCTCTGTAATGCTCCCATTGGAGTCTTGTACGAAACGATTTGGTTCAAGAGGCGCTGACGCCTCCTGGAAAACTTTGAAAAATGTTTCCGTTAGAAACACTTTGTCTCTGTGTCACATACTTTCTTTTTCTCATCCCATCATCTTTATTCTCAGGAACAGGAAAACACTGCATTACCATGGGGTAGAAATGTGTCTCCACCATATGCTGTGCACCTAAAATTCATCTGTCATTCTTGGTGCCATCAAGATGATTCCCCCTCCCCACACACAAACACATATAGCAACAACAGAGAAGTGTTTAGAGAATAAATAAATAGCCATGCTTCCGTCCAGGTGTGTGTGACTTCGATCTTATGTGATGGAGGCTGCCATGTCATGCTCATGAACTTTCCACTACACCACAGATAGAGGGTATCGGAAGAGTTCTATCAATGCAAACGGCTGTGAAAGTTTTATAAAGCACTGCTCCAAATTGTTCACATCCATGACAACCTGGATGCCGCTGTTAATAGGGTGTTTTGTGGAGGTGCCTACCACTTCTCCTTGTCCAGCATCTGTAAGGCTGGCTTCAATTATACTTACCGGAGGACGTGGGCAATATCCCCATAGAAGTGTATGGAACACCACTTGTTCCCTTGACCCTTGTCCTTCTTTGTTAGTGAAACCTAGTCAGGAAGAAATCAGGGCCTTTCCTGCTAAAGATTATCAATAACAACTTACAAAAGAAAAAGATGCTACCCACCCCAAAGGAAGCTCCGGCACACGCAATTCCTTAAAAGTTTTCACCCTCCATCTGATCTGTAATAACTTTAGATTAATTTCAAATCTCCCTTCTTTTTTTAAGGTAGTCAAGTGGGCAATATCAATGAAACCCCAGGAGTTCTTGATTTGAAGCATTGTTATAGAACTGTACCAACTGGTGTTTAGGTCAGGGTTTAGAACAGAGACGAGGGTTACCATATTTTAGGAAACTCGACCCCAAAAAATCAACACTTCTGATATGGGCTGCCATATGCCTGGATTTTCAGGGACATTTTAGCCGCTTTTCGAAAATTCTGCCTGGACGCCATTTCTGATGGACTAATCCTGGCTATGACTGGGAAATTCCGGATGTATGGCAGCCCTAACAGAGACTGCTTTAATAGTCCTGGTGGATGAATTTCATTGACAGATTGATGAGGAGAGGGTGGTCCTACTAATGCTCTTTGCACACTTCCCCCTTTTCTTGCGGCTGATAAGTGTTCTAAGTCTATTCCAGGGCCTGGCTGAATGTGTGATCACTCATTTTCTCTGCAATTTAAGTAATGGGGATGTGTGGCGGCTCACTTACTCACTGGAGAAACATTGCAATGGGAAGTGATTTGAAACATATTTGTGGTGTTTGACATTTGAAGGCTCATGCATGCATGCAAGTCATTGTCTGAGGCTGCAGCCAGTGATGAGCATGCATGTATTTTTATTGTTTAAGAGCATGCTTTTAAGATGGTTTTTAATACGGTTGGAAAAACTAAGAAGTTTTGTCAGATCAATAAAGTTACAGTAAGTAGGCTAAGAATCAAGTGAAACTGATTCAATGACCACCATTAATCTCTTCTTTATTATTCTACTCAAGCAGGTCAGATCTAATGATCTCTGGACTAAGACCATTTATGAGTTAACAAGGTAACTGCAACTCATTGAATGATATCCTAAAGCTCATTGGAAAAAGCCAGTGGAAATCCCCAAACAAGAATTGTATGTACATAACACCCCATTCCAGTTAAGAGTTGGTATGCTCCATTTTGCACCACTTACAGCTTCCAAACATATTTCAAGGATATGCCATGGAGACCACATTACTTTAGGTCTGGAGACAACAAAAGAAAAAAATATAATTTCAAAATACTTACTCTCAAATATTCAGAAACAGTTTGTAGCGTGGTGGTTTCCAGTTCATTAGCCAATCATTGCCATTGGAGTTATATGCTAAATATGACTACCAATCAGCTTTGCATAATAATACCTGGGGCTATTAACATGAAGACTGTAATTCATCTCCTAAAGAGTCTCCCAGCAATTAAATTTGAATCCCTGGTTAACAAGGGATGTCATATTTGGATGGAAGCATCAGCAGGTAAATTCTGCAATTTTGCTCCTCCTCCAATTCCATCACTTTCACCTTCCTCCCAAGCCTGCAGAAATAGATCCCGGTGGTGGTGGATCGAATTCTCACAGACCTAGAATCAGCCTACGAATGGAAGATTTGTGTTTGGTATGAATCTGCTGTGGACATACACATACAGCTTATAGTAAAAGTATAAAAGCAAAACTAAAGTTTCCTTAGTTGTCATCTTCTAACTGCCATCTTCTGGGCATCCTTGGTTGCCCGGTTCTAGAAGACATTGTGAAAGAAAAGCATGTTATTATCTATTATTTAGTAAAACTT